CTTATAAAGCATTTATTCTGCATGACCATTTTCTACATCCCTAATCCTGCCCGATACCTTAACGTAACAACTACCTTATTAACTCTTAATAAGCAGCTAATTAGGAGTTTATTGAGGCAAAAGTCATAGTTAATGGTTTGTTTATGGTGAGAATTTGACCTTAAAATAAAGTGACCGAAAAGTAATATGCCGTTTAAGAGCATGATCAGACTGATGCATAAATATATCAAGCGCGTTCATCATTTGAAGACTAGAGAAAGAGGGAAGAAAATTAAAGACGATAAAGGCTCTTTCTTACAACCAATTCCAGACAGAGGAAGAACTGGTCCATTGGACCCAGGAAACAGGAGGCAATATGGACAGTGCTGAACCTCTCCCAAATAACATAACTTGATAAAAATGGTCTTTCTCTGTTTCTTGCGTTGAAAAAAATGGCCACAACAGTACCATTTACAAGAAGCTCTGGGTGGGAGTGGAAAAATAGCCAGAATTATTGTGGCGAATAATAGAGGAAGATAGGACAACTGTTAAAGGAACAGCGAGCAGGGAGGAAGAATGGAATTTGTCGGAGGCGCTAAAAGATTAAGATTAATAAAAGATTAAGAGGGGATAACACAATTATAATTAAGCCCACAGACAAAGGTAGTGTGGTAGTAGTCATGGACCCAGAACAGTATGTAAGGGAGGTTACCCGACAACTGTGAGACAACTGTGTGTATAGATCACTGGACAAACCTATCTTCCCTGAAATCTATAGCGTTCATTAAAATGCCATATCACCCTGCAGCCCAAGACTGGTCACCCACTGAAGCTGAGCAGGGTTGAGCTGGTCAGTAGCTGGATGGGAGACTCCTGGGAACGCTGTGTTGCTGCTGGAAGAGGTGCTAGTGAGGCCAGCAGGGGGCGCTCAAAATGGAACTGAAAGCGCTTTGTAAACGGGCACTTTACAGAGAGGAAGGCAGAGTATGTGAGGGGCATGACATGCTGGGGGCAAAGAGATTTGGTAATAACTTTCATTAATAAATCATTAACAAGAATTATATGATGCTTAATGGATCAGGTTAGGTGAGGTGAGGTGAGGTTAGGGACAGGTTTGGTGGTGTGGGTAGGTTTAAGGGTTGGTTAAGGGGTCAACAGTGTACAGGGGTCAATCTGATTATTATAAGGGAACACAGTTCAATCTGCTTATATTATATTGTTTTGATAAATGAAAGTATTTTCTTTTTTTAAATGATTTGTTTGATTTGATATACTGAAGATAGTATACTAATGTGAGTGTTGAGGTGATAACAGATTGTAATTTTGGTGCAAAAAATGTTTTTGTCTTTAGCAAGCATTTAGCTAAACCTAACCAGCCATCCTTTACACAAACCCTGTTCCATTAGCTAAAAGTCCAATACCCATAAAGATACTGATTAGTAATCGTTTATAAACATTTGCAAATGATGAATAGTTTGCTGCAAAAACATGAACAAATGAATAGATGATTTGTTAAGATGTGTGAATAGAGGTCTACACAACAAACAAACACCAACAAATGAAGATCACATGACCTGAAAGTTTAATGACATTTGTAAGCATTTCAATTTACATTAAATAATCATATGTTAATCATTAGGTAACGTTTTAGTAAGAACATTAACAAGAACATTATCTCATATTTCTAGCTTTGTGAATATATATATATATATATATATATTAACTAATGACCTGTTAAGCATTATATAATGCTTGTTAATGATTTATAAATGAAAGTTAATTATGAATAAAGTGTTACTGAAATGTTGAGAAAACACTTAAAACTGAAATGTTTTCTGTAAGTCCAGTGGTCAAATGCTCAGTTTCTGTGTAATTAAACATCTGAGCAGTGACTGATCTCTGTGTGAATGTGCTCAAAACTGAAGACTTTCTGAATGTATGTAAGCGGAAGGCTATTTTAGAAAGGAACGTTTAAAAGATGAAAAAGAGGAATTTATGAATAATTTATTGCTATTGTGTGAATAATATGTGATCAATAAAACAGTAACTGTAGTCTGATTACGAGTCTATTACTGTGTAATTTAATCTAATTAGAAGTATTTTGGAATCTGATTATGTAATCCAGATGACATGTAATCAGTTCCTCCCCAGCTCTGCTCACAGCTGTGAGTCTCCGTATGTCTTGAACACTGGACTGTAGGAAAGTGAAAATCTTCACTAACCGTCAGCTACTTTTATGTGTGGAGAGGAGAACCAACACTCATCTCATCTCTGTTGCTGTACGCTACCAAAGCCACACATGAAACCCCGCAGCACACGGGAGACACACATTTGTGCAGCACCGAGCAGCTCTCTCACACTGTAGGACGTGAATGCGATTGTCACTCTCATAAATAACTGAACTGCGTGTGAATGTAACTGTATTAATACAGGACCGACAGCCGTATCATGATGCCGTATTCTGTGTGAACATGGCCTGTATGAAGCTAGAAAAATGAATGGGTTTTATATCGTCTGTGTTTAAAAGCTACAGAGATGAAGGAACCATTGCAGTTCCTGCAGCTCATCTGAAGATGACAGCAGTTCATCCAGTGAGGAAGAGAAGAGCCGTAGAGAGAAACACAGAACTGGACGAGGTAAGAGTCATGATTATTATTAGAAATGGCACATCTCCATTTAAATGCTGTTCACAATTGCACTTGTAGCCTTTGAACAGTGCTGCTAATAATTGGATCTTGGATCTCTAAAGTCCAATAACTAGATCAAAAGAATCCAAGGAAACAAACAGCACAAATACTACAAATGTTCATATGTGCAACATATATGCAAGTGTTTGCCTTCTATCTCTGGCATGACTCTGTATCTAGCAAAGACCCAGCTGTTTTTTAGCTTCTACCCTTTTACTCTTTTTGTTGAGGTGTCAACAAACATTTCTGAAATATCATTGCTTCAAAATCCTTGAAATGAACTACAAATGTTCAACCTGTGTTCACAGAAACTGTGCATGCTATGTAATGAATGCGATGAATCCTGCTGTATCACATTTGATGTCTAAGTCCTCTAAATGATCCACACTTTGCTGAATCTCCTGCTGTACACAGTCTACCACATGCCTTCTGTTGTCTTACTCAGAGTTTATACTTTTTAGCCTTCATTTTGAGAAAATCATGTTAAATGTATCAAATATGATCCATCAGGGGCCAGATTCACGAAACAAAAATTCATAAAAGTCTTCTGAAATGCCATTCTCTTCTTATTTTCTAACATTAAAAAGAATATTTCTGTATTCTCAAAAACTTTTCTTAAGCATGTTCGTATCTTTTTTCTTAAGAAAAGTAAACAAGTATGACGTATGAGAAACGTATACATTATCATCAGCTTTGATCTCCATTAATGTAAATATCATCTTACTAGGACATGATGGGGAGATATAGTCACAACATGCAGCCAGAGATGACCGTGGCAAGGAACTCAAGACTCCGTTTTGCCTTTTCTCATTAAACGTTTATTTCAATGTGTATTTAGTCCATTGACTTTTTTTTGTGCAGCCAGAAAGCATAAGTTATTAAATACTACAAAGAGGTACTGAAGACTTTCAGAAAAGTGAGAAAAATGTCTGCAGTCTTCCATCGACATGGACAGAGGAACTAACTGCAGATCCTGGGTTTTACCAAGAGATAAAACATTAACAAAAGGAAACTCTTCTTGATTTTGACAAAAGGTGCAATGCAATGATGTCTACTACTACAAAGCAAAAAATAGAAGAAATTAAACAAAATAAGGAGCTCCTACTCGTGCAGCATAGCTATAATGAGGCAAGGCTGATGCTTAATGTCTGGGGAATTTGCTTGTTTAAAGCAAACCTTTGCTTGCTTGTTTGTTCTTTTAAAGGTCTCTAATTTCACTGTTCTTTTCTGTTTGGAGACTGTTTTGGAGTGAGTTCTCTAGTATTCTTATTACTCTGTGTTCTTTGCTGTTTGTGAGTAGTGTTTCTAACGCTCACCTTGAAAGGTAAGCCTCATTTTTTTTTTCAATTATGAAAAAATTTGAAAATTGATTTTTTTTTTTCCATTCATTTTGTGTGTGTGTGTTAAACAATATATGGCATATTCTGTCAAAGGATGTTGTTTGCAATTTCATTTGTAACTACAACGTTATTTGTTCAACCAGCATAAAACTTTTTATAAAAGTGTAAATTATTATTTACATTAAAAATGTACGAATTATTAAAAATTCTGTATTTGTGTCTTTATTTTGTGACATATACATGGGTCGTTTAACTTGCTGCATTTGTTGTCCAGTTATCTGCATTTCATTATATATTCATTTTAAAATGAAGTCAGCATAAGCAGTAATTGAAAAACAGCGTTATTCTTTAATGATTACTGTAAATGACTTTAGGAGAGGGGGTTAAATAGTCGTGATTACGTGGCTCTGTGGAATACTTGATTCTGATTGGTCAGTCCGAGGTCTGTTATCCCTCGATAACACCCGGTAAAAGCTGATGACACAGGCTCATCCGGGTAACTGCAGTCTGCGCTATACTCTTGCTATAAACAGTTTTTTCTTGGTGGAAGCTTTGCGTTTGGTTAGCTAATAAAATATTAAACTTCAATTCAATATTGTGTGTACAATTATTTAATTATGTCATCCTGGTATCACGGACTTGCTCTCTCATCTCAGCAAAGGCAGCAAACTGGTAAGATCTTAAATCAATATCTTTTATTGCTATAATTATCTATGTGGTGAAATGTTGTGTAATAAGTGTATGACTGCACCGTTTCCCTTAAATGTCCGTCTAGTTTGAACTTGCTGCTTGCTCGCAACTGCTGTCTTCACGGAAGCTTTGCGTTCAAATATTTCAACTCAAATCAATATTTTGTGTCTAATTATTTACTTATGTGGCAAGTTCAGCAATGTATAATTGCAAACCAGCAGTAATTAAACATAATTACTAGGATATTGTTCAGTTAACTTACAGAAATATAATTACATCACTACACAAAAATAATATGTGGCTTCTTAAGTTGTAAATAATGGCTAAAAGGTGTAACTAATGCATTATTGAGTTGATGGAGATGGGTGGATTCCAGGAGCTGGGGAGAGGTAAGCAGGGAATGGAGACACTGGAGGACACAAGAGATCGATGAAGAGAGAGAAGAGCAGTCGACGCTGGATGTTGCTTATCCTGTAAATTTAACATCAGTTCCAATCAACAAGTAGTTCTGTGGGGGAAAACATAACAAAATGATTACATATATATATATATATTACTATATTATGTAAAATTATTATTATTATTATTATAATTATAAGAACATATTACACAGCCCCTATATAAAATAGTATCTCACTAATATAAATGTAAGCTTACCTTCAAAACTTGGAGATGACTTTTTACAAGCTGCATCTTTCCAATGGCAGGAAGTGGATAACCCTGCTTTACACCAGCTGAGAGTGGAACAAGTCCATGAGTGAATAACAACAAACTGAACTCCAAGAACTTCAGTTTTCACTCTTCTTATGCCAATAAGAAGAAAAAATCCTTACCATTAACCTTGGGAATGATGACATCCTTCACGACTGTTGTGAAAATATCCTCAAGAGATCTCACCTGTCGATTTCAATTTTATGATGAGATTCTGAATGATTGCTTTCAGATGAGTTATGAACACTTTTCCTAGTTTCTTCTTACCTGGAATGGTCCCACATAGCTTTCTGCTAGGCTCATATCAATTCTGTTTAAGAAAATGATACAGTGTGTATCAGTCCTTTAAGAATTTATGAACACAAACTCACATCTAGCTGTATACATATAGACTGTTTATGGCTCCAAAACGTACTTGTTAAGGGTCACATGTCCTGCCAGTTTGAGCCCAGTCACATATATGTGAGCACTGACACTGGCCTCCTGTTAGTTGAAGGGAAATCCATTAAAACAAATCAGACCTCATTTAAACCTCATTTGTGACACTTCTTCTTCTTCCTGGTGTGACTCACCAGTCTGAGGACAAAGAGTGGCGACAGTATGCTGTTGGGCTGAATAGCGTAAGCGGTCACTTTACTGCTGGCCTGAACAGTCATGTTGTTCGGTTCTAATGTAATGATGGGCTCCTTCACTGTCTCGACCAACAGCTTCATCATCAGACCAGGAGACATTTTCGCAATCTGAAAAATATGGTCTAGTTGACTTGTCTTTTGTGTCTTGAATTGAATGACTGAACATGGCTGTTTGTTTTCATACCTGAGGAATGAATTTTCCAAATGTCTTTGTGTTCAGACGATTCAGAGAACCAGAGGGAATCTGCAAAAAATTAGATGGTAAATTTTAAAAGTTGCTGCTCTCAGCTGCCTTTCCATGAAGAACAGACCAGCAGATCATTCTTCATCTGGCCAGTCCAGGAGATGCATCACTGAAAAGTTGCTGCCAGAGCCTGTGCTGTGATCACCAGCTAATGACAGAAAGAACGTATGAACGTATGAGCTGGACGACGTTGCTACAAGCATCAAAATCCTGTCACAAGCTGAGCTCTTGTAGAAAACACTGCACTTCAGTGAGGGAGAACACTGGCTACAGTGCACTGGCTACCTATTAAACATCGTATAGATTTTAAAATCTTGCTAATTACTTATAAAGCCCTGAATGGTTTAGCACCTCAGTATTTGAACGAGCTCTTGTTACATTATAGTCCTCCACGTCCGCTGCGTTCTCAAAACTCTGGCAATTTGATAATACCTAGAATATCAAAATCAACTCCAGGCGGCAGATCCAGAAAAGGGTCTAGGAGGCTCAACCCGCCTCGACCTGTCACCGTCCCTACATGGGACCTGCCCACGGTGTTGAGGGCTCTGGAGAGCCCTCCTTTCGAGCCGCTACAGCCCGTTGACCTTCGTCCCCTGATGCTAAAGACCGCTCTGCTACTGGCTTTAGCATCGGTAAAGCGTATGGGAGATCTAAAGCCAAACATGGAAACAGCAGCTTTGGGGTTGTCAAAGTGTTCTTGCTGCATGGTTAAAATAATAGTTACAATCATAAGTCACAACTGTGCTTGTGAGAAAAAAGAAAAACACATAAGTTGCTAATAAGTCATGACACAGGGCAGGGGAAAGGTCAGGGGGAGGAGTCATAATAGACCTGCAACAAATAATCAGCAAGCAAACATTCTCTCCTTCATATTCTTCTTTGTTGTGTTTTTTCCTCTGCAAATCATTCGACAGACAACTTGGATCGCATGCTTTTTGCAGGCTACCATTTTTGACAGGAATAAATCCATTTTCACATGAGAACATCTGTCTCTCGTGTGATCTTATGTTATTTACCAAATCAATTCTTGCATGTATTTGGTTGTGAAACATAGTTTATAGACAAGGCAGAGATGTTAGAGATTCTTTCTATCGAGAAGTTGTGTGATGTGTGACCTGTCGCTGACCCGTAGTGTAGTTTGCACACCACACAGCAGCAACTAGATAGTGTCCCCGACAGTCATGCAGTGTGAGAAGAGCAGATCTGACGACTTTGAAAATCATGCGGTGTGAACCCGGCATAACTGTGAGTTCTTGATATCAGCAACACAGCAAGATACACAGACCACTGGCAGTCAGATAAAAGAGACATTTCTGTGCCACACATATCTAGTGTTCAAGCCGAAAGCTGTTTTTTAACAATGAATGAGGAAGTATTCGATGACGTATTTTACGAGTTAAAATATTATTTGTGATATCAGTAGTTCTATTTTAACTAGTTGCGAAGACTATTTCAGATATCTAGGCAAAACATTTTTTTTTACTTTTAGTAGTGTCTTAATTGATAGCAGTAATTACCTTCTTACTTTTTACACACACACACACGCACTCACATGCGCACACACACACACACACACACAATTTGAAAAACTAGCGGAATGCATAGTCCATATAAAAACTGGATGATGAGTAATTTCTTCCTGCTAAATTCTGAAAAAACAGAGGTGTTAATAACTCATGTATGTTTGTCCTTGAATTTATGACTTAAACTGTACTCTTGTATGCCAAATTCATGGAAATCACTTCCTGCAAATCTTTCAAGAAGACATCTATTGCACATCTATTGAACATGCAGATCTGAGTGACTGATTTGATTGGTGTCTCACCATGTCATCGGTGATGTAGAGGCGGAGGGCACCAGCTCTGTGGTACACAAAGCCTGCTGAGTTGATGGAGAAGGCAGAAACTCCAATGTACAGCATATTCGTGTCCTGAGACGGCAATAAGAATGGTCTTGGGGAGAAAGGGGGTTCCTCGTGTGGTCCAATGTTGTAGAATTCACCCTATAAAGTGTGAAAAACATGTAACTCAGCTATAAAATTAGGTTTTCAGGTTTCAGAGAAATATCACACATGATAGTGATTAAGGTTACCTTTAAACCCAAGTCAATCATAGCATTAGAAATGACAGGAGACTCCACCATGGAGTATTCAAGTTCAGCATATTGATCTACTTTGGCTAAAACTGAAGAGACAACAAGAGAAATATATCAAAAATTCAAAAACTGATTTTCATACAAATCCTGAAATACCAATAATTAATACATATTGATTTATCATATCACCATTTAATGTTTTCAGGTTGTGGTTCATCTCAGCAATAGAAGCAGTCACTAAAGAGCAGATCTGAAACAGCAGATAGATTGTGTGTGAAACTCCGGTATGTCTTACATTGCATCTCAGTACTCGTTTAGCAGGTAGTATAGAAGGCATTTATACAGCCTAAATTCCTTACCTGTTTCTGCAGAGCATTGCGTAAAGCCTTATTAATGAAGGAATCGAAGAGATTATACAACCAGCTGTTGTAAATACAGGAAATAATAGAGCAAAAAATTACATGTTTGTTTTAACACAGTCATTAGCTGTAAACTGGGTTTCAATGGTTTCTTTGTTTTGGTTAAATAATAACATGAACTCCTGACATTTTTAATGAACTAAATTCAACTATTAGACAAGTTTAATCCAACAAATAAACCGATCAGTTTATCAAATGTCCTTGTAAGTGTTTTCTAGCAGGCTTCACTCCTCTGTACTGGTACCTTGTGTTCCACTCTGTTGTAATTAATAAGAAACAGCCACAGACACACAAACTCATTGAGGTACATGTACAACTAAAACTGAAAATTGTTGCATTTGTCATTCTCAACCATGCAACCATATGAAAAGCATCGCTAGGATTTTTTTTATGTATCTACAGTTGTGCTCAAAATTAGTCATACCCTTGGTAAATATGATCAAAGAAGGCTGTGAAAATAAATCCACATTGTTTATCCACTTGATCTTTCATTCAAAATTAAAAACAAATCTAACCTTTAATTAAAGTAAAAAATCACATAATGAAATAAATATTGTTCTCTAATACAGTAAGAGGACGTGTGTGTATGTGGTCCTAATGCACGGTGAGGAGGAGAGTTTGAGTGGATCACAGCTGGAGAACTGCAGAAAATAGTGGAGTCTTGGGGTCAGAAAGCCTAAAAAATACAATGTTGTTTGGGAGGGTTTCAAGAAAAAACTAGAAAACAAAACACTCTCATTCAAAAACAAACTCCAGCATATGTATTTGCTAGACACGACTGGAACCTTAAACGGGACTGGGTTCAATGGTCAGATGAAACTAAACAAATGAGCTTTTTAGCAGCAAACACTCAAGATGGGTTTGGTGCACACGGGGATAAAAAAGTACCCCATGTGAACAATGAAATATACTGCTGGATCTTTAATGTTGTGGGCTTATTCCTGGATATCTTGTTCAGATAGATGGCATAATGGATTCTATAAAATACCAATGGATAAAAAA